TTGCCGGCCTTGCCCTCAATGGCCTTGAAATGCTCGTCGTCGAGCGTGCGGTCTCCGTAAAACGCATCATAGTAGAACCCCTGTATATGGGGAGAAAACAGAGGTGGGAGACAGATGCAGGCACAGATGAGAGCCTTGCCCGCCTTGCCCTCAATGGCCTTGAAATGCTCGTCGTTGAGGGGACTCTCTCGGTGGACGCATCATAGTAGTATCCCTAATGTGAGAGGTGGGAGCCGTAAGGGAGGAGGGGGCAGCGGAGGGAGATGGAAGCACACATAAGAGCCATGAGCCTTGCCCGCCTTGGCCTGGAAGGCCTTGGAACGCTCGCCGTTGATCATACGGTCCCCATGCCATTGAGCGCCTTAATAGCCCAACCGGTGGTATCATGGAGGTAAAGAGACGGACCATGCCGTTCATTTCCCCAAGTTTGCTTTCAATCACGAAACATGCAGTCACATGACATGTGTGCGTGAGTGAGCTGATAAGTAAATTAGACAAGCAGCGAGCATTCGCTCATCACACCAAGCAGTTCGTAGTTGCCATTCATAGTGAATATGCTCACCCAATTTCCCTTTCCCTTCCTCTCTCCCTTTCCCTCCCTCCCTGTCCTCCCCCCCCTCCCTTTTCCTTCATTCCCCGCTTTCCCTCCCTCCCTCGCTTTCCCTCCTCTCCCTTTCCCTCCCTCCCTCCCTTTCCCTCCCTCGCTCCCTTTCCCTGCCTCCTTCCCTCCCTCACTTTCACTCCCTCCTTTTCCCTCTCTCCCTCCCTTCCCTCCCTCTCTCCCCTCTCTCGCCCCTCACCTCGCTGCGTGTGGTGCATAGACCAATGCACAGGTGCCACCCATCCCCCTACCTCCCATTCTTCTCTTTTCCTTCCTCCCTTCCCTTCACCTCCTTCCGCTCCCCTTCACCTCCTTCCGCTCCCCTCCACTTCGTCTCACCTCGCCGCGTGTGGTGCACGGACCAATGCACAGGTGGCATCCGTACTCCTGCTCCAGAGCCTGGTGGAAGAGATAAGAGAGAGAAGAAGCGAAGCATAGATACTATGAGTTTGATGAAGGGAGTTGTATCCTGCTGCTCAGACGGACGGAGAAATGCACAGATGAAACCTGTACTCCTGCTCCAGAGCCTGGGAGGAGGGATAAGTGGGAGAGGGTGAAAACAGCACTGCTCCTGCTCCTGTTTCAGGTCTTGGGAAGAAGAGGTGGCTGCATGCAAGGTGCTCTTAAGGGAATGCACATGGAGATGTCAAGTGAACGCTAAGAAAATTTTGCGTGATCGGTTCCAGTGATAATGCGTACAGCGAGTATGGGTACTGCTTACAACGGGTACCTCGCCCAGAATGTGAGCGCTGGAGTGCCAGAAGGTGTCTCTCCCCTCCTCAAACGTAGTCGCCCGCCAAGGTGCTTCTGAGGTGAGTACAATGATATGAAGGCTTACATCGCGTACATAAAGCGCTAGTAACGCGTACCTCGCCCAGAATGTGAGCGCTGGAGTGCCAGAAGGTGTCCCTCCCCTCGTCGTCCTCAAATGTGAACAGCTGCAGCGCGCAGTCTCCCTCCAGGAGGCTCCTAGTGGCTACTGTCGTGACAACCAGGAGGGACCAAGGGACGCTTATAACGCGTAAAAGTACTGCTTATAACGTACCTCGCCCAGAATGTGAGCGCTGGAGTGCCAGAAGGTGTCCCTCCCCTCGTCGTCCTCAAATGTGAACAGCTGCAGCGTGCAGTCTCCCTCCAGGAGGCTCCTAGTGGCTACTGTCGTGACAACCAGGAGGGACCAAGGGACGCTTATAACGCGTAAAAGTACTGCTTATAACGCGTACCTCGCCCAGAATGTGAGCGCTGGAGTGCCAGAAGGTGTCCCTCCCCTCGTCGTCCTCAAATGTGAACAGCTGCAGCGCGCAGTCTCCCTCCAGGGGGCTCCTAGTGGCTACTGTCATGACAACCAGGAGGGACCAAGGGACGCTTATAACGCGTAAAAGTACTGCTTTTAACGCGTACCTCGCCCAGAATGTGAGCGCTGGAGTGCCAGAAGGTGTCCCTCCCCTCGTCGTCCTCAAACGTGAACAGCTGCAGCGCGCAGTCTCCCTCCAGGGGGCGACACATGTCCCACAACACGCCATCCACCTGTCAACGGGAGGGAGGGGAGGAGCGATAAGCATGAGTTATATTAAACGAAATGAGGGAGAGGAGAGGAGTTGGAAGAGGTTTGGTCAAGAGAGAAGAGCTGCAGCAAGCAGGACCCCTCCAAGGGGGACGCATGTCCCACAACACACCATCCACTTGTGAAGGGGAGGGAGTGATGAAGTGTGACATGACAAGGACGAATGAAGTGAATGGAGGAGAGAGTGGAAGGGTATGGGTAAGAGAACAGCTGCAGCGAGTATCGCCCTCCAGGGGACGACACATGTCCCACAAGACGCCATCCACCTGTGATGGAAGGGAGCGATGGGTATGACACGTATGAGTGAAGTGAAGGAGAGAGGAGATGGAGGGGTTACATCACGAAATAACAGCTGCGGCGAGCAGTTGCTCTCCAGGGGACAACACATGTCCCACAAGACGCCATCCACCTGTGAGGGTGAGGAGGGAGGAGGGGAGGGATGGGCATGAGCGATACGAATTCAATGGGAGGAGTTGGAGAGGTTGGGCCAAGAGAAAGAGAGAGAGCAGCTGCAGCGAGCAGTATCCCTCAACGCGCCGCGCACCTTGGAGATGATGGCGCTGTTGGCGAGCCCCTGCGAGATGCCCTTCGCCACGTCCATTGAAGTGGTCTCCCACTACTTCTCTCCTTTACAGCACCACCGCTCGCAAGTCTCACCTGGATGTTCAACTGAATGCATCTCCGACCCCCAAGCAGCTCTCACCTTGGAGATGATGGCGCTGTTGGCGAGTCCCTGCGAGATGCCCTTCGCCACGTCCATCGGAGAGGTCTCCCACATCTCGGCCTCCTTGGGATCAAATCACAGCACTGCCACACGTCCATGCATTCACCGCGACCATATCTGCTGCTCAGCTGGGTGCTCAACTCGAAGGAGTTTGTTCTCACCTTGGAGATGATGGCGCTGGTGGCGAGTCCCTGCGAGATGCCCTTCGCCACGTCCATCGGAGAGGTCTCCCACTTCTTGCCCTCCTTCACAGCACCGTCGGGCAGGGTGATCCTGGCGAATGTGACACAAACGGGTGGATGCAACGGGGGATGTGTGGGAAGGCGGGGGAAGGGGGGGTAAGGCGGGGAGGGGTCATGGTTGCAGTGTGAACTGCCGGAACTGCCACTTTATCGTTAACGTCCAAAAAAATCCACGCGGCAGGCCAGTCTCATCCGCAGGTGCAAAATAAACCTCCGAAAAACCCTGGATCGCCATTAGAATTCTTCCTCAGTGCTACCTGATGCGCTGCCATGATTCTGCCTTTTTTGCATTGTCACGGTAGGATCGCCTCCGCTTTTATCTCACTGCGTTGCCTCGTTAACCCGATACGCCATTGTGACCCATTACTGTCCGTGCGTTATTGTAACAAACTAAAGGCACTGTTCTCACTTGATCGGATCCCCAGCGATCTTCGCCCTCTGCTCTGCCTGCTCCTTCTGAAGCGCCTCGAACATCTCGATCCTCCTCTTGAAAAAGGCCTGAATCTCCGGCGCAATCTTTGCCGCCTCTTTCGCAGCAGCAGCCGCCGCGGCAGCGGCTTTGTCGGCGCCCTTGTCGGCACCCTTCGCTTTAGCGGCTTTCTCGGGTTTCGCGGAAGCTGCAACAGCGGCGTCGGCTGCTGGCGCGCCGTCGGCCAGTGAAGCGTCAGCCAGCCTATCGGCCACGTCATTGGAACTCATCTTGACGTGTCAATTGGTAATCAACGTCTACCGCGATCGTAACTCCAATGTCTTGGAGTATCAACGTCTACACTCGTACAAAATACGGAGTGTGGAGGACAGAAAGTGGCTAGCTCGGTGGACTGGCAGAGACCGCACGATAGACAGTAGAGAGCTGACTATGAGTTCCCAGAGACAGGCAAAAGCGACTGGAGGGCCCCACACGTGCTGGGACAGGTTACCACCGTACGCAGAACAATGTAGTACAGTGTATAACCTGAAGCAACGGCGTAAGTTGCGGGATCGGCAGTCAAGCCCCAGATTCGCCTAGCAAAAGGCATCTACTTTTTCTGGTTGCGGGTTTTGTGGATGCAAGCGGAACATCGAAAATCCCGCGCCGAGGCGAGGCGAGGGGGAGTGGGGAAAGCGCAAAGGGGGTGAGGGGAGTTGGCGAACGCGCACAGCGATTGGGTGATGGGGGGACGGCGCAACCGACCTTGGAGTTGACGGATTTGCGGTTTCGCGACAGCAACGAAATCATTCGCGGACAATTCGGGAACTACACCCTGGAGGTGGATCAAAATAACAACAAAAAGGAGCACTGCACTAAAGCCATAAGGTTTGAGCAATAAAATATTGTATAGAAAGGAATGTAGTACTATTATCATATCCACTTTCATGCTCCATAAATTAGAGCATGCAATTGACCCAGGCTACATATAATGGAATCAGTCTCCTAAATACGGCTGCGAGGGCCGATGGGACTGCCACCCTCAAACGCCTCTTCAAGCACTTCTTCCACTCGCTTTGTTGGAAGGATCTGATAGGGAAAGAGGCCACGAGAAAGAGGATAGAATGGACACATTTCCAGTACAAAAGACATGCAGTCGCGGCACCACCACTTCCAATGTTCACTTCATTCGTACAACCTTTCACCGACACTTGTACATCCTTTCTTACCCAGAACAATATATGAATGCAACGCAACTACTCCCTTGGTCCTAAATCTGCTCAAAGATGAAATGCTGCCATACATCCCTTCACGGACACCAAATCACTCCCTTTCCATATGAGCGGCACTCACATGCATGCCATGTTGATCCTTTTTGGCACATGACATGGCATATTACCTCCATGCTTATCCTACCATTATGTATGATGCCACAGCATCCTATTTGCACACATGCCATGTCAGCGTACCTCCATGCATGCCAGCACAGCAGCCGGCACCTCCTGGAGATCCTTGATGTTCTTTTCGGGCAGTATAACACGCCTGATGCCGTAACGATGGGCAGCGAGAATCTGAACGACGAAAGAACAAAAGGAGGAAAACAAGGGAGGCAGGAGGATGTGCAGAAACGAAGAGAGAGAGGTAGGAAATAAGGGAATGGAGAGAGGGAGAGAGATATGGGGTGAATACATGCTGCAGGGAACAAGAACAGCTCTATTAGCAGCTTGCCACGTGTGCAGTATCTCAACAATTTTAAAACACGCGCGAACGTTTCACTTTTTATTTATCACCCTTTCCCAATGTGGGCAACACCAGGCCTCTGAGTATGAGCTCTCCAGTCATGGCCGTGTCGGATCACACAAACACACACGCTGGGTGGCTGAAGTCGGCCATTCCACCATACTCCCTAATAGGACTTCGACACCAGCAGTGGTGCACAGCCCAGCTCTCATCTCACCTTCTCCTTCACGCCCCCAACATGCAACACCAGGCAATGGCCTGTCATGGCCGTGTCGTGGGAGTGTGAGCTCGCCGGTCATGGCCATGTCCGATCGCACAGAGCGGTCGGAGAGGGGAGGTGAGACAGACATCGCTCAAAGTGCAAGGCAAGAAGGTGAGAGCAATCTGGGCTGGCTTCTTTATCACATCTGCCTCTCCCAGAACCACACTCACCTTCTCCTTGACGCCCCCTACAGGTAGCACCAAACCCCTGAGCGTGAGCTCGCCGGTCATGGCCGTGTCGGACCGCACACAGCGGTTGGAGAGGAGAGACACGAGCGCGGTTACCAGCGTAACACCGGCGGAAGGGCCATCCTTGGGCACAGCACCTGAATGAGTGAGTGGGAGGGGAGCACACACGTGAAATTATCTGCATGTGAGTGGGAAAGCATCATGTTTGAAAGAAACCACAAGTGAGTTCCAACATGCTGCCGACTGAAAAGTTGGAGAGGAGAGGGACAAGTGCAGTTACAAGCGTGTCGCGCAATTGTTCTCCCTAGCTACAACAATTGGTATACCAATTTCTGCTTCTAGTCTTGGGGCCATTCCCTCCAAATCCATTTTGATAATTTCTGTGGTACATGTACCGAAAAATCAAACGTAAGAAAAATGTGCTCCTTACTTATGTTTTTGTGTTCAAAGTTTTTTCTTTTGATTTCCATTTATTTTTACGAGATGCAGGATAACTAAGCCTATCAGGAATACTGCTAAGTTCAATGTCAGAATTAATACGTTCTAGTGAACCTCTGAGGAGTGAATTTCCTCACATGCCTCTAAAACTCTTGGTGCATGTGTTACCTGCGAAGAACCGCTGCGAGTGAGTGAGTGTAACACTGTTACCTGCAGGGAAGTGGATGTAGATGTATGTATCACCCCTAAGGGAGTCATTGCTACTGGGTGGAAGTGGATGTGGATGTGTATGTCTCGCCCCTCGATGAGATTGCGAGGGAGGAGAGGCACCGGGGTAGATGAGGAAGAAGACGAGCTGTTGCTCTTGCCATTGGTGACTGCTATTGCAGAGCACAGGTGACTGATACGTACCTGCAGGAAAGTGGATGTGTATGTCACGCCCCTCCATGAGATTGCGAGGGAGAGGCACGGGGCCAGAGGAAGGGGTGGAGGTGGAGGAGGAAGGGGAAAGGCTTTTGCCTAGGCGGATGATGCTGCTCTTGCCAATGCCGTTGGCATTCCGATTGCCAGAAGCTGTTGTACTCATGTAGCTGGTGGTAGCAGAAGCAGATATAGCAGCAGCAGTAGTGGGTCTAGCAGCAGCGACAGCACGGGAACCAACAGAAGCAGCAGCAGCAGCAGCAGCAGCAGCAGCGGTGGCAGAAGGAGCAGCAGCACTAGAAGCGGCAGTAGCATAAGTACCACCAGCAGTAACAGCAGGAGTAGCGGAGACAGCAGGAGGAGCGAAGGAGGAGGGAAGGATGGTGGGGACGACAGTAGGGGCGGATGCAGGAGAGGAGGAGACAGCACCGTAAGGGCCGAGAGGAGGGAGGTGGTCGGCAGAAGGTGTGGAGTCATCGAATGGATGGTCTAATGGGGTGAAAGGCGGAGGAGAGGAGGAGGGAGGGGTGGAGGTAAGGGGTGGAGGGAAGAGCTCTGCTGCCCTGGCTCGGACCTGGGAGCAATGAGGGAAAGAAGAGAGGGGATTGGGGAAGTAGGAGAGAAAGAGAGGGGATGAGGAAGAGAGGAAGGGGAGGTAGGGGGTGGAGGGAAGAGCTCTGCTGCCCTGGCTCGGACCTGAGGGGGTTGGGGTAAAGAAGGGAGGGGACAAGGAAGAGAAGGGATGGGGAAGAAAGGGAACGTGAAGAGGGGATGAGCAAGAGAGGAGATGGGGAAGCAGGAGGTGGTCTGCAGAACAGTGTGGTGTCATCGAATGGATGGTCTGATGGGGTGAAAGGAAGAGCTCTGCTTCCCTGGGGAGAGGAGCAGGGGAGGCAGAGGAGGAGGACGGCTGACGTACACACCCAATTTATCCGCAAACTGAGGCACCACAAACCGCAGGAAAATACACTCGAGGATTCCACAAATCGCACCTCCGCCCCTTGCTGCCCATGCACCGCCACTCCCCCCTGTCTTGAAATCTCACCCTTATACACTGCTGCTCCCGCATCCCCATTCCATCCTCATACTCGTTATGAACTCGCTCACCCAAGTGAGAGCAATGTGGGGTGACTCGTTAATCACATCTCCAAGTTGTCCAGTCAAGTGCAGCTCCCCTTTCCCCACCATATCAGTGACTTCAACAATCTGCACTTCTATATTGGAGTGACTTTTGAGAATTCTCAAAAGTCACTCCAATACAATCTGCACCTCCCCCACTGCTGCTGCTCCTGCTCCTCCACCCTCCCGCTCCTTGTATTGCAACCTCATCTCACACTTATACTCGTTATAAACTCACCCAAGTAAGCGCGATCTGCGCCGAGTCCTTGATCACGTCCCCCAGCTGCCCTGTCAGATGCAGCTCCCCTTTCCCCACCATGTGCAGGGTTGATCCCCCTCATACTCGTTATGAACTCACCCAAGTGAGTGCAATCTGGGCTGACTCCTTGATGACATCTCCCAGCTGCCCTGTCAGATGCAGCTCCCCTTTCCCCACCATGTGCAGGGTTGATCCCCCTCATACTCGTTATGAACTCACCCAAGTGAGTGCAATCTGGGCTGACTCCTTGATGACATCTCCCAGCTGCCCTGTCAGATGCAGCTCCCCTTTCCCCACCATGTCTGTTGCCTCAACAAATTGCACTTCGCCCCCCACTGCTGTCCATACCAGCCCTACTGCCACTCCCGGTGTTGCTACCCTCTCTGCTGCTTCCCTGCCATCAAACTTGGGGGGCTGGGATGGGGAGAGGGGGGAGGGGAGAGGGGAGAGGGGAGAAGGGAAAAGGGAAGGGAGAGAATTATGGGAAAGGAAAGAGGGGGCCAAAAGAGGCTTAAAAAAACTGCACCTCGCCCCCCACTGCTGTCCACACCAACCCAACTGCCACTCCCGGTGTCGCGACCCTCTCTGCTGCCTCCCTGCCATCAAACTTGGGAGGCTGGGAAAAGTGGAAGGGAGGGAAACAGGAGAAGGGAAAAATGGATGGAAACGGTTTGGTAATGCACAGAGCAGTGCGAATGAATGGGAGAGGGATGGGTTGGAGGGACATGGGAGAGAGGGTAAAGGGAAGAGAGGCAAGGACGCATCTGGTACAGATCAGACAAATAGCATCGCTCGTTCTGTTCCCAACTCAAACAACACGAGTTTGAAGAAGTGTTTTGAGACGTCTCAAAACACTTCTTCAAACAAATAGCATCGTTCGTTCGTTCGTTCGTTCCCAAGCAACACACATTGCACTCATAAGAATACTCGTTTCGAGGCGCCTCAAAACTACGCATCTGGAACAGATCACACAAATAGCATCGCTCGTTCTGTTCCCAACCCAAACAACGCACAGTGCTCTCATAAGAATACTAACACATTGTTCAGACAACATTGCCCAGTACACTTACGAACAGTGCAACACACTCAATACTCCCACAACGTACGACCCATTCAAAAACATGGATCCACCACTTTTGAGACGTCTCAAAAGCCATTCAAAAACACGGATCCACCACTTCTGAGACGTCTCAAAAGCCATTCAAAAACACGGATCCACCACTTTTGAGACGTCTCAAAAGCCATTCAAAAACACGGATCCACCACTTCTGAGACGTCTCAAAAGCCATTCAAAAACATGGATCCACCACTTTTGAGACGTCTCAAAAGCCATTCAAAAACACGGATCCACCACTTCTGAGACGTCTCAAAAGCCATTCAAAAACACGGATCCACCACTTCTGAGACGTCTCAAAAGCCATTCAAAAACACGGATCCACCACTTTTGAGACGTCTCAAAAGCCATTCAAAAACACGGATCCACCACTTTTGAGACGTCTCAAAAGCCATTCAAAAACACGGATCCACCACTCACCCGCAGCACTTTCTCCAACCGTCTCCTCAGTGACCTCGATTGGGTCTGATACAACCACCATTACCCCGATTGCAATCCACCCATTCCCTCCCAGCCACTCACTCACCCCCAACACTTGGATAGGGTCTGAGCTTTTGAGACGTCTCAAAACTCACCCCCAACACTTGGATAGCGTCTGAGCTTTTGAGACGTCTCAAAACTCACCCCCAACACTTGGATAGGGTCTGAGCTTTTGAGACGTCTCAAAACTCACCCCCAACACTTGGATAGCGTCTGAGCTTTTGAGACGTCTCAAAACTCACCCCCAACACTTGGATAGAGTCTGAGCTTTTGAGACGTCTCAAAACTCACCCCCAACACTTGGATAGCGTCTGAGCTTTTGAGACGTCTCAAAACTCACCCCCAACACTTGGATAGCGTCTGAGCTTTTGAGACGTCTCAAAACTCACCCCCAACACTTGGATAGCGTCTGAGCTTTTGAGACGTCTCAAAACTCACCCCCAACACTTGGATAGCGTCTGAGCTTTTGAGACGTCTCAAAACTCACCCCCAACACTTGGATAGCGTCTGAGCTTTTGAGACGTCTCAAAACTCACCCCCAACACTTGGATAGCGTCTGAGCTTTTGAGACGTCTCAAAACTCACCCCCAACACTTGGATAGGGTCTGAGCTTTTGAGACGTCTCAAAACTCACCCCCAACACTTGGATAGCGTCTGAGCTTTTGAGACGTCTCAAAACTCACCCCCAACACTTGGATAGGGTCTGAGCTTTTGAGACGTCTCAAAACTCACCCCCAACACTTGGATAGCGTCTGAGCTTTTGAGACGTCTCAAAACTCACCCCCAACACTTGGATAGCGTCTGAGCTTTTGAGACGTCTCAAAACTCACCCCCAACACTTGGATAGCGTCTGAGCTTTTGAGACGTCTCAAAACTCACCCCCAACACTTGGATAGAGTCTGAGCTTTTGAGACGTCTCAAAACTCACCCCCAACACTTGGATAGCGTCTGAGCTTTTGAGACGTCTCAAAACTCACCCCCAACACTTGGATAGCGTCTGAGCTTTTGAGACGTCTCAAAACTCACCCCCAACACTTGGATAGCGTCTGAGCTTTTGAGACGTCTCAAAACTCACCCCCAACACTTGGATAGCGTCTGAGCTTTTGAGACGTCTCAAAACTCACCCCCAACACTTGGATAGCGTCTGAGCTTTTGAGACGTCTCAAAACTCACCCCCAACACTTGGATAGCGTCTGAGCTTTTGAGACGTCTCAAAACTCACCCCCAACACTTGGATAGGGTCTGAGCTTTTGAGACGTCTCAAAACTCACCCCCAACACTTGGATAGCGTCTGAGCTTTTGAGACGTCTCAAAACTCACCCCCAACACTTGGATAGGGTCTGAGCTTTTGAGACGTCTCAAAACTCACCCCCAACACTTGGATAGCGTCTGAGCTTTTGAGACGTCTCAAAACTCACCCCCAACACTTGGATAGCGTCTGAGCTTTTGAGACGTCTCAAAACTCACCCCCAACACTTGGATAGCGTCTGAGCTTTTGAGACGTCTCAAAACTCACCCCCAACACTTGGATAGCGTCTGAGCTTTTGAGACGTCTCAAAACTCACCCCCAACACTTGGATAGGGTCTGAGCTTTTGAGACGTCTCAAAACTCACCCCCAACACTTGGATAGCGTCTGAGCTTTTGAGACGTCTCAAAACTCACCCCCAACACTTGGATAGCGTCTGAGCTTTTGAGACGTCTCAAAACTCACCCCCAACACTTGGATAGCGTCTGAGCTTTTGAGACGTCTCAAAACTCACCCCCAACACTTGGATAGCGTCTGAGCTTTTGAGACGTCTCAAAACTCACCCCCAACACTTGGATAGCGTCTGAGCTTTTGAGACGTCTCAAAACTCACCCCCAACACTTGGATAGGGACTGAGGTTGCACCTGGCCAAACAATGCCATACCTACCCCAACCTTATGGTACTGCCACTCACCCCCAGCACTTTGTCCAGCATCTCCTCCGGGTCTGAGTCTGCCATCACTGCCGGGGGGGGGGGCTCTCTTCAATGCCAATGCCAATGCCAGCGCCAATGCCAATGCCAGCGCCAATGCCAATGCCAGCGCCAATGCCAATGCCATGATCCCATAACTCACCCCCAGAACTTTCTCCAGCATCTCCTCCGTCACTTCGATAGGGTCTGAGTCCGCCATCACTGCCGCCACCTCCTTGCCCTGGAAGGGGTGGGGTTCGGAGGGATGGAGGGAGGAGGAGAGCGGTGCAGAGGGGTGAAAGGAGGACGCTGCAGCACCCATTCTACTCCAGCATTTTCTCTCCTCTGTGACTTCGATGGGGTCTGAGTCCGCCATCACTGCTGCCACCTCCTTGACCTGGAAGTGTGTGGGAGCAGAGGGGGGTCGGTGGTGTGGACAGAGAGAGAGCGGTGCAGAGTGGTCAAGAGGAGGGAACTGCAGCATCCTTCCACTCCAGCATCTCCTCTGTGGCTTCGATTGGATCCGAGTCCGCCATCACTGCTGCCACCTCCTTGCCCTGACAGGGTTGGAGGGGGGCACGGGGTCGGAAGGGAGAAGGAGAGCGGTGCAGAGGGGTGAAGAGGAGGGAACTGCAGCACTTTCTCCAGCATCTCCTCTGTGAACTCGATTGGGTCGGAATCCGCCATTACAGCAGCCACCTCCTTTCCCTGGGGTTGTGGCAGGTTTGGGGAAAGAGGGGCGGAGAGGAGTGGGTAGGAGAAGAGTGAATGCGAACCCATCTCAACCCACCTCAATACGAACGAACCTAAGTTCAGAGAGGTATCCACACCGATTTCAAAACTCACCCATTTCAGAGAGGTATCCACACCGATTTCAAAACTCACCCATTTCAGAGAGGTATCCACACCGATTTCAAAACTCACCCATTTCAGAGAGGTATCCACACCGATTTCAAAACTCACCCATTTCAGAGAGGTATCCCTGAGACCAGAATCTGACTCCTTGGCAGAAGTGGAAGTGGAGGTCCTTTTGAGGCGCCTCAAAAACGACTTTTGAGGCCCCCAAAAACACGACTTTTGAGGCCCCCAAAAACACGACTTTTGAGGCGCCTTAAAAAACGACCTTTGAGGCGCCTCAAAAACGACTTTTGAAGAGCCTAAAAAAACTTGGCAGAAGAGGAAGTGGAGGTCCTCTACTTCCTCCTGAGACCTCAGACCTCCACTTCCATCTCGAGCTCAACCTTTGCATCCTCTACTGCTACTGCTGCCACCACTTTAGCAGAGAAACACTCGAAACCGCACTGCACCGCACTGGACCGGACTCCACTCACCTCCATGCCCATCGCCTCCACTTCCATCTCGAGCTCAGCCTTGGCGTCCCCCACTGCTGCTGTGTCACCACTCTAGTCTTTACTAGTGAAACGCATGGAACCGCATTACACCGCATTGCACCGCACTGGACCGGTCCTCACTCACCTCCATGCCTATCACCTCCACTTCCATCTCGAGCTCAGCCTTGGCGTCCCCCATTGCTGCTGCTGCGGCCAGCAGGTCAGCCGTGGCAGAGAGAGCTCCCTACTGATCCTTAATTGCAGCGCACTGAATAACACTGCACTGTATCTTACCGCTCTGAACCGATTCCCACTCACCTCCATCTCGAGCTCTGCCTTGGCATCCCCCACTGCTGCTGCTGCCGGCCGATCAGTCGTGGGACATATTGAGCTCCCTATTGATCCTTAATGCACAGCACTGCACCACTTTGTAACGGTCTCCACTCACCTCCATGCCTATCGCCTCCACTTCCATCTCAAGCTCAGCCTTGGCGTCCCCGACTGCTGCTGCTGCCGCCAGCGGATCAGTCGTGTCAGAAGTAGCAGCTGAGCTGGGTGCACCAGCAGGGGCAATGCCAGGAGCCAGCGAGGTCCCGCTCACCTCTCTCGCCACTCGGATGCAGCGATTGGACTGGGCCACCTGTGGGTGGTGGTGGGTGGGTGTGTAATTTGTAAGACGATGAGGGGTTGGCTGGCAATAGCAGAGCTGGGTGGACGGGCACTCCCAGCCCAGGGGCAGAGGGGGATCTGCTCACCTCCCTCGCCACACTGGGCGATTGGACGGGCAGCCTGTGGTTGAAGGGTGGTGTGTGAGATGAAAGAAGATGAGGGGTTAGATGGCAGAAGCGGAGCCAAGGGCAGGAGCAGCCCCAGGAGTAGCGAAGGTCCGGCTCACCTCCCCCGCCACGCCGATGTCCCAAGGGTCTTCGCTCATAGTGGAAGAGCAGCAATTCTAAAGAGTGACGCTTAAAGCAACAAAAGGAAACGAAACAGAAATTCTTTCCTGGAAAAACGATCAGTAGAAACCTTAGAAACCCTTTACTAACGAGGATCTTTACAGCTCAAACTAGTTTCGGCTCACGGGTCTCCAACCCGCTAAGCCTTCATCAGTAAGCTACCAGATCCACAAAAGAAAGAGTTCGGACAGAAGCAGGCTAAGTAGCTAGCAACTGCCCTCGAGATCTACAAATGTACAACCAACTACCCAGAGTGACAAGTCACTCGGCCAGCTAAGCAAATGGGGTACACCCAGGGTGCAAAGTCAGCCCTCGAGAAGATCTTCGTCAACCAATTCGTTGATGTAACCGCGCGCGCACCAGTAACTTTTGCAAGTTACACGAACATTTCCAAGCTGTAATAATCCTCTCCGTATGAAATCCGCGTGCATTGAGGTGTATTTTGAGGCGCCTCAAAAGGACCCCCAGCCTGAGACGGGCTGTCACCGGGGTGAACAGAGTCTTCAAGACTAGGGGTCCGCGTTGGGGGAGAGAGTTGAGCTTGAGAGCTTGGCGCGCAGCAGTGGTCTCCAAAAGGAGAGGGCGGTTTCGAAAAAACACACTCCGAAAGATGGGTAGAAGGAAGTCTCCAGGATATCCGCGACTTCTAAGCCGTTGGAAAAACGCGTGCTTAGAGGCTAGGAAAGCTTTGGCAGAGGTCGAACGTAGTAAGTAACGCTTCAGTTCTGCACGGATGAAGCTGACCTTGCAGTGTCGCGGGTGGTATGAAGAAAACGGCAGGTACAAGTAACTGTTCATGGGTTTCTGAAAAGTCTTCAGATCCAAGTTACCCTTCTCGGCAAAACGTGGTCCTTTGAAGATGACCATGTCAAGAAAGTCTGCCGAGGAGTCCGAGATGTGCCACGTCAACTTGATGTTGGGATCCAATTCGTTGAAGGTACTGAGGTAACACTCCAACTCGTTCCGAGAACCTGGCCAAACAATGAAGCCATCGTCGATGTATCTCACGTGGCACAACGGCTGCGTCCCGGACCACTTGCGTCTCAGCACCTCGTCCAAACGGCTCATGAACAGCACCGCGAAACATACTGCTGCAGGAGTTCCCATAGCAGTCCCTTGTCGCTGCAGGTACAATTGGCCGTCGAACTCAACAATCGAGTTCATCATCACCCACTCCAGCAGGGCAATGACCGGGAGGTGATTATGATATTTCCCACTCCGAAGAATGCTACTCACTGCGTCGATACCTCTCCTTAATGGGATACTGGGGTAGAGAGCAGTAACGTCGTAGGTGGCTAAGAAGATCCCTTTCGGGAAGGCGGTCTCTTCCAGCTTCAAGAGTAGCGAGAGGGAATCGCGGAGGTATGTCTGCTGCTGCAAAACCCACGGTCGTAATTCAGCATCGAGCCAACGGCTAACGTTAGAAGTCACCCATGAGTGTGAGGCGGCGATCGGGCGTCCCACGAGATCCTTCTTATGCAGCTTCGGCAAAATGTAGAAAGCCGCGGGTTTCCATCCTCCAGGCGGCTGATTGAAAAAGTACTTCCACAAAGTTTCGGGAAAAGCAGGGCCCCAAACGCTATGCAGTTCACGCAGCTTCCGGTAGAATTCAGCGGTAGGATTGTGAGAGACCAGGGAGTAAGTCGTGCTGTCACCTAGGTGCTCCATGCACAACCGAATGTAATGTCCCCGGTCCATCACCGTAATCCCAACATTCTTGTCAGCCGGTTTAATCACCACGTCTCGATCCGCAGCGATGGTGCGCAAAGCCTTCCTAACGCCAGCTGAAAGATTCCGACGTCGGTCAGGCCGAGATGCCTTCAACAAGACGGACAAGTCAGAGGACGAGTCCTTGAAGACCTGCTCCGGAATCACCATCCGATCGGGCAGCCACGTCGGGTTACGCACACGAAACCGTGAATCCCTAGGTGGACCGTCCGCATCCTTGAAGAAAAAATGTAACGAGATCTGCCGGAAAAGCTGATCAAGCTCAATTCCGGCCGAAAGGGAAACGGTGGGCGTGGGGATGAACTTCAATCCCAACCCCAACGCTGTCTTCTCATCCGAAGATAAGATTTTGGCGCTGAGGTTGTGAACTCCGCGGTTACGGACGCGCAACGCAGCTTGTCGAGGCGTCAGCCGTCCAAACCAACGGAGGGCCAGCTCATGGCTGGTTAGTTCTTCTTGCGCGGCCCTTTTTCGGGGCCGCCTCCGCCGTTTTTTGGTCCCTTGGCCGTATCAGATTTGACTTGGCCTCCCGCCTGCTTGCCTTTGTCGGTGCTGGAATTCTGCTTCTGATTCTTTTTCTTCCCACCACGCTTCCTCCTCGGCTTGGATCCAGCAGGTGCAGCGTTGCCATTCTCCTGACTTTTCTGCTTTCCCGCCGTACTCCTCTGCTTCGGATTAGCAGCAGCGGCCTGCGCAGGGTCTTGCTCCTTAAGAGAGAGATTCTTCTGCAGCTTCTTCGTAAGACTGGCCTCAACCTTCGCAGTGATTTCCTTGCGAAGTTTGTCTTCAATCTTCTTAACCTGCTTCGCGAGAATCTCCTCTAACGCAGGTTCTAACTCCATCTCCTGCACCTCCTCAGACGCAGCAGCTTTCTTCAAATCCTCAGCAGCTATCTTACGCTGTCTTTCCAACTCCCGGATGGTAAGATCATCCTTGGCAGCAGCGATGTCGGATTGGGCTTTCTCGATGCAGCGTCCCTTGAGTAAACGAAATTTCTCCTTGGCAGCGTCAGACACCACCAAATCAGGATCCGCGTTCAGCCCCTGTATGTAATCCTCCATCCTTGTAGCCAGAGTCGTGACACGCGAGTTAGCCATCTTCGCGATCTCCTCAACCTCCAGTGCTTTCGAGGCGATAAACTCTGCCTGAATCCGCTTCTGATTCGCCAAATGGATCTCAGCAACGGACGCCTTGGATTTCTCCTTGACAGAGTCAATCTTCGTCTGGAAATCGACCGCTTTGGTACGGATGCTGTGCAGAATCGTTCCTTCAGCGTCGAGTTCCTTCATCTTCTTCAGCTTAGATTTCGCCTTAAGCAGAGTCCTGAAATCGTCCCGGAAATCCTTCACTGCAGTCGCAAGCCATCCCTTGAAAGGTTCTTGGATGGGGGTCGCGTCAGTGGGTTCCACCATGACGGTAGGACGAATTCGCGACGGTCCAGCGGGAGGATCACGTGGTTGCTCACTTCGTAGAATCGGTTCGTAGGTTAACGCCAGTTGCGGAAATTTGTTGCCGGTCTGCCGCTGCCCGGAAGCCTTTCGAGCAGAACGCGACTTGTTTCCACTCCTACGCTGCCTTTTCAACGAGTTGCGTTCTTCAGAATCGGCGTCTTCCTCTTCAGTTGGAAACCATTCAATGTCCCAAGGGTCTTCGCTCATAGTGGAAGAGCAGCAATTCTAAAGAGTGACGCTTAAAGCAACAAAAGGAAACGAAACAGAAATTCTTTCCTGGAAAAACGATCAGTAGAAACCTTAGAAACCCTTTACTAACGAGGATCTTTACAGCTCAAACTAGTTTCGGCTCACGGGTCTCCAACCCGCTAAGCCTTCATCTGTAAGCTACCAGATCCACAAAAGAAAGAGTTCGGACAGAAGCAGGCTAAGTAGCTAACAACTGCCCTCGAGATCTACAAATGTACAACCAACTACCCAGAGTGACAAGTCACTCGGCCAGCTAAGCAAATGGGGTACACCCAGGGTGCAAAGTCAGCCCTCGAGAAGATCTTCGTCAACCAATTCGTTGATGTAACCGCGCGCGCACCAGTAACTTTTGCAAGTTACACGAACATTTCCAAGCTGTAATAATCCTCTCTGTATGAAATCCGCGTGCATTGAGGTGTATTTTGAGGCGCCTCAAAGTAGCGAAGGTCCGGCTCACCTCCCCCGCCACGCGGATGCATCGATTCGACTGGGCCACCAGTGGGTGGTGGTGTGGTGGTGTGGTGGATGGTGGTGGTGAGTGGTGGGTGGTGGGGTGGTGGGGTGGTGAAGGGTTGGTGGGGGTGAATGGCAGTTGGAGTGACGAAAGAGACACACGAGTGAAATGATTCATGCCATCGCCATTATGAGTCATGGCATTGCCACACCCATCCCTGTCAACCAACCTGCACCGCAGCGTGTCTGGCCGGTGCTGAGCCATAAGTTGGCTCAGGCTCCTCACTGCAGCAACCCCAGCAGACCCAGCAAGTTGAGTTTTGAGTCGACTCAAAAGACGAGTTTTGTTTTGAGTCGACTCAAAACTCGACCCAGGAGTTGGCTCAGGCTCCTCACTGCAGCAACCCCAGCAGACCCAACAATGCCAGCCCTTGGGCCTCCCTTGTATAGTACGTTATTAGCAGTCAACCAAAGTCAACCAAAGTCAACCCAAGTCAACCCAAGTCAGCCCACCTGCACGGCAGCGTGCCTAGCCAGTGCTGCCAGCAGGCGGCTCAGATTCGTCAATCCTGCCTCCCTAGTGTAGGGCGTTATCAGCAGTCAACCCAAGTCAACTCAAACCAACCCAAGTCAACCCAAGTCAATCAACGCACCTGCACGGCAGCATGCCTGGCCAGTGCTGCCAGCAGGCGGCTCAGGTTCCTCACTCCCGCCTCGCGAGTGTAGCGTGTTATCATCACCTCCACTGCGTGCTGTTGTGGATGGAAGAGAAGGATGGAAGAGAAGGATGGAAGAGAAGGATGGAAGAGAAGGATGGAAGAGAAGGATGGAAGAGAAGGATGGAAGAGAAGGAGAGACGAGAAGGGAGGGGAGAGGTAGAGACAGGAGCAAAGGATGTCTGAATTGGGGTCTGTGCGTGCGGTTCCTCACTCCCTCCTCGCGAGTGCAGCGCGTTATAAGCACCTCCACTGTGGGGTGGTGGGGAGAGGAGAGCGGTGAGATGGGTAAGGAAAGGAGTGTGGGGGGTTGTCTGTGCGGTTGCGGTTTCTCACTCCTGCCTCACGCGTGTACTGCGATATCAGCAACTCTACTCTCATCAAAACAAATCTTACATCAGAGATGTGGAGGTGGCGCTGCGCCAGCAGTGCTCTTCGGATCAAGTGAAATAAGAAATGATCGAACTCAAACCCTAAATCTGTAGTCAAATCTCACGTCAGAAATATGCAGGTGGCGCCTGCTGATGTCATGCTGCTCCAGCACTGCTCTTCAATCCAAGGCCTCACGGGAACAAACACTTGTGTGTGCGTCCCACATCCCCAAACCCGAAACCCTGAACCCCATATATCTGCCCCATCAGGCAGAGATCGTAACGAGCTCCCAGAGGACAAGACCATCACCGTGTACCGCTGCGGGCTGCTGGTTGACCATCGCTCTCACTGACCTGTGCCTTGGTGGCTTGCGTGTGGGGCCCCCCTTCAGGTGGAGATCATCAACGAGCTCCCAGACGACAAAACCATCACCGTGTACCGCTGTGGGCTGCTGGTTGACCATCGCTCTCACTGACCTGTGCCTTGGTGGCTTGCGTGTGGGGCCCCCCTTCAGGTGGAGATCATCAACGAGCTCCCAGACGACAAAACCATCACCGTGTACCGCTGTGGGCTGCTGGTTGACCATCGCTCTCACTGACCTGTGCCTTGGTGGCTTGCGTGTGGGGCCCCCCTTCAGGTGGAGATCATCAACGAGCTCCCAGACGACAAAACCATCACCGTGTACCGCTGTGGGCTGCTGGTTGACCATCGCTCTCACTGACCTGTGCCTTGGTGGCTTGCGTGTGGGGCCCCCCTTCAGGTGGAGATCATCAACGAGCTCCCAGACGACAAAACCATCACCGTGTACCGCTGTGGGCTGCTGGTTGACCATCGCTCTCACTGACCTGTGCCTTGGTGGCTTGCGTGTGGGGCCCTTCTTCAGGTGGAGATCATCAACGAGCTCCCAGACGACAAAACCATCACCGTGTACCGCTGTGGGCTGCTGGTTGACCATCGCTCTCACTGACCTGTGCCTTGGTGGCTTGCGTGTGGGCCCCCCCTTCAGGTGGAGATCATCAACGAGCTCCCAGACGACAAAACCATCACCGTGTACCGCTGTGGGCTGCTGGTTCACCATCGCTCTCACTGACCTGTGCCTTGGTGGCTTGCGTGTGGGGCCCCCCTTCAGGTGGAGATCATCAACGAGCTCCCAGACGACAAAACCATCACCGTGTACCGCTGTGGGCTGCTGGTCGGTTGTGCCGTGGCTTGTGTGTGCGTCCCACATCCCCAAACCCGAAACCCTGAACCCCATATATCCACCCCATCAGGCAGAGATCGTAACGAGCTCCCAGAGGACAAGACCATCACCGTGTACCGCTGCGGGCCCTTGGTCGATCTGAGCTATGCCTACCATAGTCTCATAAAGTCCCGTGCAAAACCCCCCGGTGAACTCCCCGGTTCCGGATCCGCGCCGACAGCCGTCCGAACCAGCGGAGTGCCAAATCAAGGCTCGTTAGTTCTTGTGCGGCCCTTTTCCGGGGCCGCCTCCGCCGTTTTTTTATCCCTTGGCTTTCTCATCAGCTGCTTTGCCTTTCGCTCGCTGGTCCTTGGTGGCGCCATCCTTCTTCTTCTTACCCCCGCGCTTCTTCTTAGGCTTGGAATTCCCGGCCGTACTCCCTGAGTGGCGCTCCGTGGTCGGAGTAGTGTGCATCGGCTTTCCGGCAGCGGTATTCTTCGGCTTCGCGTCAGCAGCAGTGGCCTGGGGGGGATCCTGTTTCCCCAAGGAAATATTTTTCAGCAGCTTTTACATCAGACTGGCCTCAAGCTTCGGAATCATCTCCCTCCGAATCCTGTCTTCAATCTGCTTCGCATGCTGTTTCATTATCTCTCCGACACCAGCTTCAACCTCCATTTCCTGCACCTCCTCGGACGCAGCTGCTTTCTTCAACTCTTCGGCGGCGGCCTTGTTCTGTCGATCGAGCTCGCGGATGACGATCTCATCCTTTGCAGCCACGATGTCGGAGTTAGCCTTTTCAATGCATCGACCCTTGAGTAAACGGTACCTCTCCTTGGCGGCGTCAGACACCACCAGATCGGGGTCAGCACTGAGACCTTTGAATCTCCTCAATCTCCAGTGCTTTCGAAGCGATAAAATCACCGTGTTAGAGGACAAGACCATCACCGTGTACCGCTGTGGGCCCTTGGTCGATCTGAGCTATGCCTACCATAGTCTCATAAAGTCCCATGCAAAACTCTACGCCACTGTAAAACCCAGAACCCCTTCCCCTCTCCCCCCATCAGGTGGAGATCATCAAGGACCTCCCGGAACACAAAACCATCACCGTGTACCGCTGTGGGCCGCTGGTCGATCTGTGCTGTGCCTAGGGTAGCATCGTACAATCCTGAGAAAAACCACCCTATACCACTTCAAACCCCTAGACCACGAATTTTCCCCCCAATCCCCTCCCATCAGGTGGAGATCATCAAGGACCTCCCAGATGACAAAACCATCACCGTGTACCGCTGCGGCCCGCTGGTTGATCTGTGCTGCGGCCCCCAAATCCCCAACACTTCCCATGTCAAGGCCTTCGCCTGCCTCAAGGTGGGAACGGAGCGGTTCCGAGCAGTTTAGAGTGGTTCAAAGGGATTGTGTTGTAATTAACCCTTGGTGATGCCATGCTGCTCCAGCACGTGCGGGATGAGGTGGCGCGTGGCGATTCGCTGCCCTATCTAACTAAGGCTCCACAGGACTCGCATAAAACACAATGCAACCCACAAAGTAGCGAATCAAATCAGATCTCACGTCAGATATATGCAGGTGACGCTTGGTGATCCCGTGCTGCTCCAGCACGCGCGGGATGAGGTGTCGCGTGGCGATTCGCTGCTTCTCCTCAGGGGTGTAGCCCGGAAGCTCAATCACCTCCATGCGGTCCAACAGAGCGGCTGGGATGGGTGCTGCGCGGTTGGCCGTCGCCACAAACACCACCCGCGAGAGATCAAACGGGACTCCCAGGTAGCTGGTGGATTGGTGGGGGGGGGGGGAAGTGATTGAACATGGAGGGTAGCGGCTGGGATGGGTGCTGCGCGGTTGGCCGTTGCCACAAACACCACCCGCGAGAGATCAAACGGGACTCCTAGGTAGCTGGTGGATTGGAGGGGAAAAAAGGGGAGGGAGAAAGGGAGACGGGAGGGAGGGAGCAGGGAAACAAGTGGTTGGGATGGGTGCTGCACGGCCGTTTCCACAAACACCACCCGTGAGAGGTCAAAGGGGACCCCCAGGTAGCTGGTGGATTGGATTGGGGGGGAGATGGGGGCAGAAGGGGAGACCGGGAGTTTCTCGTGGGGGGGAGATGGAGGGAAGATGGGGGGAAGATGGAGGGGAGGTGGGGGAAAGATGGAGGGGAGATGGGGGAAAGATGGAGGGGAGAAGGGGAGATTCGGTGCTTCTCCTCGGGGGTGTAGCCCGGCAGCTCGCATCCAGCAGAGCGGCTGGGATGGGTGCTGCGCGGTTGGCCGTTGCCACAAACACCACCCGCGAGAGATCAAACAGGACCCCCAGGTAGCTGGTGGATGGGGGGGAAGGGGGAGGAGGAGGGGAGAAAGGGAGACGGGCCCATTCAGGAGCACTCAATCACATCCCATTCAACTGTCAACGACAGCCGATTCCAGCAGCACAAATCTTTAAAACCGCGCTCAGCAGCGCTTGTTCCCATTCCACTGGTCCCGGAAGCGCTTGTTCTGCTCGGGGCCCAGCACCTCCAGCAGCGCAGCAGCAGTAGCAGCAGCACTCAGAGCCCAGTCTACGAGCCCTCCTAATCTAGCAGCAGATTACGGCACCACTCTCAACCCATGTGTTCCACTCACTGGTCCTGGAAGCACTTGTTCTGCTCGGGATCCAGCACCTCTAGCAGCGCAGCAGCAGCAGGGGAAGGGGCAACATCACCCAAGCCCGCACAGCTGATCCCCTTGACCTAGCAGCACGACACAGTACCGCACACAACCCATCTGTTTTACTCAACTGGTCCTGGAAGCACTTGTTCTGCTCGGGGTCCAGAACCTCTAGCAGCGCAGCAGCAGGGTCGCCCCTGGCATCTGCTCCAGTCTTGTCGATCTCGTCGAGCAGCATCACTGGGTTGTTCACCCCCACACGCTGGTGGGAGGGAGGGAGAGATGTAGATGCAGGGTGAATGGGAGAGGTCGCCGCGGGCGTCGGCCCCGGTCTTGTCTATCTCGTCGAGCAGCATCACTGGGTTGTTCACCCCCACACGCTGGTGGGAGGGAGGGAGAGATGTAGATGCAGCGTGAATGGGAGAGGTCGCCGCGGGCGTCGGCCCCGGTCTTGTCTATCTCGTCGAGCAGCATCACTGGGTTGTTCACCCCCACACGCTGGTGGATGGAGCAGGACAGGCCAGGGCAGAAGCAGTGCATGCGAGGGGTTGAGGAAAGGAAGAGATTAGTGCACAGCAGCAGGGTCGCCCCTGGCATCGGCATCCGACTTGTCAACCTCGTCTAGCAGCATCACTGGGTTGTTCACCCCCACATGCTGGTGGGAGGGAGGGAGAGATGTAGATGTAGGGTGAATAGGAGAGGTCGCCCCGGGCGTCCGCCCCAGTCTTGTTGATCTCGTCCAGCAGCATGACGGGATTGTGGACGCCCACACGTTGGAGGGCGGGTCAGGAACGAGGGGATGATGGGTAGGGTAGCAAGGCAAGACCTCCTCTCCCCACTCCCTCCTCCCACCTTCATCCTTTCCTCTCATACGCCCTTTGAAGCGTCTGTATCTCACTTTCACTCCTTCAATCAGTCGTCCCGTGTAGAAAGTAGACTTTTGAGACGTCTCAAAAATCTATTTTCTACACGTGGCTTCAATCAGTCGCCCCGGCATGCTCCCCACGTAAGTCCGCCTGTGCCCTCTGATATCCGCCTCATCCCCCTTTATCTAACTCACTTTAAACCCCGTCTACCCCCCTCTCTCCCCACGCCTTCCTCTCACCTTGACTCCTTCAATCAGTCGCCCCGGCATGCTTCCAACATACGTCCGCCTGTGCCCTCTGATATCCGCCTCATCCTTCACCCCCCCCAGCGCTATCCGCTCCATGCAAGCTTGCACCCCAGAAACCAGCCCAGCCCAACCAGCACAAAACCCTCCGTCTAGCCAACTCTCCCTCCGCATCCTTCTCACCTTCACTCCTTCAATCAGTCGCCCCGGCATGCTTCCAACATACGTCCGCCTGTGCCCTCTGATATCCGCCTCGTCCTTCACCCCTCCCAGCGCGATCCGCACAAACTTGCGGCCCAGGGCTTTGGCGATAGAAGACACGAGAGAGGTCTTGCCCACGCCAGGGGGACCCACGAAGCACAGCACAGGGCCCGTGGCGTCAGGCTTGAGCTGGTGAATAGAGAGGGGAGGGAGGCACATCAAGGTGGTAGGCTAAGCCACAAACTTGCGTCCAAGAGCCTTGGCGATGGAGGAGACCAGAGAGGTCTTGCCCACTCCAGGAGGTCCCACGAAGCACAGCACTGGACCCATCACGCCTGATTTGAGCTGGTGATGAGGGGAGGATAGGGGAACGGGGATGATGGGGAGAGGGGAGGAGATCAGGAAGACATAAGAAGTGGGGGCTAAGCTACAAACTTGCGTCCCAGAGCCTTGGCGATAGAGGAGACCAGAGAGGTCTTGCCCACTCCAGGAGGACCCACGAAGCACAGCACAGGGCCTGTAGCGTCAGGCTTGAGCTGGTGAATAGGGGAGGAGGACAGGGGAACGGGGAAGATGGGGGGACAGGGGAGAGGAGGAGAAGAGGCAGATGCAAGGTGGCTAAGCCAAAATTATCGTCTCAGGGCCTTGGCAATGGAGGAGACCAGAGAGGTCTTGCCCACGCCAGGAGGACCCACAAAGCACAGCACAGGACCTGTGGCGTCAGGCTTGAGCTGGAAAGTAGGGAGGGGCGCGCAGAGGGGTTGAGGTAAGAGGGGTATGAAGGAAACAAACTCGCGTCCCAGTGCCCACTCCAGGAGGACTACGAAGAACAGCGCAGGACCGGTGATATCAGGTTAGAGCTGGTGAGAGAAACAGCAGAAGATGATAAGAGGAGAAGAGGGAAAAGAGGAGGAGAAGAGGGAAAAGAGGAGATTTTTGAGACGTCTCAAAAGGAGAAGAGGGAAAAGAGGAGAAAGTCATGCACTTGAGAACCTGCCACCACCACGAGCACCAACAGCAGCAGCAGCTGCAGCAGCAGCAGCAGCAGCACCCCACCCCACCCCACCGCACCCCACCACACTCACTCACCTTCCTGACAGCAATGTATTCGAGAATGCGCTGCTTCACCCTCTCCAGCCCAAAGTGCTCCCTGTCCAGCTGCTCCCTCGCTGCCGCCACGTCTATCAGCGCGCTGCTGCCACTGCTGCTGCTGCTGCCACCCCACCCCACCTCACCCCACCCCACCCCACCCCACCCCACCCCACCCCACCCCACCCCACCACACTCACGCACCTTCCTGACGGCGATGTATTCGAGAATGCGCTGCTTCACCCTCTCCAGCCCAAAGTGCTCCCTGTCCAGCTGCTCCCTCGCTGCTGCCACGTCTATCAGCGCGCTGCTGCTGCTGCCACCAGCAGCACCCGCAGCAGCAGCAGCAGTAATGGGAGACGAAATTCCCCAGGGCAGGTCGCTCAGAAGCTCCAGGTACTGGCGGGTTGTGCTGTAGCCCGGCTGCTGCGGCTGCATCTTGCGAAGCCGCCTGTAATGAGGGGGGATAAAGTAGAAGAGGGGAACAATTTGGCATGAGTGTTGCTCTATAGAAGCACCAGCACCAGCACCACTAGCACCAGCAGTGGGGGACGATATGCCCCAGGGGAGGTCGCTCAGAAGCTCCAGGTACTGGCGGGTTGTGCTGTAGCCCGGCTGCTGCGGCTGCATCTTGCGAAGGCGCCTATAGGGGGACAAGCAGAAGTGGGGGAGAATTTGGCATGAGTGTTGCCCTATAGAGGCAGCAGCGGCAGCACTAGCAGCACCAGAAGCACCAGCACCAGCACCAGCAGAAGCAGCAGCAGTGGGAGACGATATGCCCCAGGGGAGGTCACTCAGAAGCTCCAGGTACTGCCGGGTTGTGCTGTAGCCTGGCTGCTGCGGCTACATCTTGCGAAGCCGCCTATAAGGGGGATAAAAAAGATGAGAGGTAGAAGCCAGGATGAATAAGATCAGCTAGGGTGTTCGTTGTGCAGTTCTTGAGAATTCTTGTGAGAAGGCTTGAGGTGGAAGGATGGACACGATTGAGCACCCACGGCTGCTGCAGTTGCAGCTTGGGAGGAAAATGTCGAGGGGGTACTTTTGAGGCGCCTCAAAAGGAAAATGTCGAGGGGGTACGTGCGCACGCACGTACGCACCTGAGACTCCCCTGGGAGCTAACTTTTGAGGCGGCTCAAATGTCCTTGAAAGCTTTGAGGTGCCTCAAACTGAGACCCGTATTGTAGGACCTCAGAACCACCATGCCCTGGCACTTCAATCAATCAACTCACTTGAGCTCGCGGCGCAGTTTTGAGACCTCTCCAAAGGGTTGAGACGTCTCAGAACCACCATGCCCTGGCACTTCAATCAATCAACTCACTTGAGCTCGCGGCGTGGTTTTGAGACCTCTCCATAGGGTTGAGACGTCTCAGAACCACCATGCCCTGGCACTTCAATCAATCAACTCACTTGAGCTCGCGGCGTACGTGGCGGTGGCGCCACACGTTGGGTGGCATCCTGACCTCCTTCACGCGCCCCTCATCTCAAGCACCGCCGGACGCCATAAGAATCTCATATGGCATCACCTCACAACCACCGTGTGTCCCCCTCCCCTCTTCTCTCCAACTTACTTGAGCTCTCGCCGCATGTGGCGCCACACGTTGGGCGGCACCTTCACCTCCTTCATGCGCCTCTCAAGTCTCAAGCACCGACCCCCATGCCCCATGCTGTCATAGGTAGGACCTTCGAAGAACCATGATGCCCCAATTACTCACTTCAATTCACGCCGCACGAGGCGCCACACGTTGGGCGGCATCTTCACCTCCTTCATGCGCCTCTCATCTCAAGAGCCATCCCCTTAATAGAATCCCAAATGGCCGGACCTCATAACAGAGCCACCATGCCCCCACACGCCCCCCCCCCCCCCCCCATTCCGGTCGACTCACTTAAGCTCGCGCCTAACGTGGCGCCACACATTGGGCGGCATCTTCACCTCCTTCATGCGCCTCTCAAGCACTGCCACGTCATCATCATCGTCATCATCCTCCTCCTCCTCTTCTTCCCCCCCCTCCTCACCATCCCCTGCCGCACCACGCTCCCTCCCCTCACCTTCCCCACCGCCTTTCCCTCCAGAAGAGGCAGAAGAGGAGGAGTGTGGAGGGGGCCCGAGTTGGAGCAAAGGGGGTTTGGAGGAGGAGGAAGGGGTTTTCTTCTTCTTGCTGCCACTGCTGGCTTGCTGCACCAGACGAAGCTTCTGCAATTGATAGGGAGAGAAAGGGAGAAATGGAGAATGGGAACAGGGGGGGAGGCCCTAGTTGCAGAGAGGGGGGTTTGGAGGAGGAGGAAGGGGGTTTCTTCTTCTTGCTGCTAGTGCTGCTGCCCTGCTGCACCAGACGAAGCTTCTGCAATGGGGGGGTGTGGGGGATGGTGGGGGGAGAGGGGAGTACGGTTGATTGGGAAAGAGAAAGGGGGGTGAGGGGGGGAAGAAATGGGTTATGCACCATGCTCCGTCCCCTCCTTTTTGTCCAGGCGAGGCTGAGGAAAAGGAGGAAGAAGTGGGAGGGAGGGCAAGCTGCAGCGAGGGGGGCTTGGAGGAGGAAGGGGTTTTCTTCTTCTTGCTGCCGCTGCTGCTGGCTAGCTGCACCAGACGAAGCTTCTGCGAGTGATAGGGAGAAAGGCAGGGATGGTTGGCAAAAGGGAGCGGAGGGGTGAAGGATTTTTTTCTTCTTGCTGCCGGTGCTGCTGGCTTGTTGCACCAGACGAAGCTTCCGCAATTCATAGGGAGAAAGGGAAAGGGAGAAATGCCGAATTGACTGAGACAGGGGAGGAGGGACGAGGTGCAACACGGGCTGGACGAACCTCCAATGAACCCTTCTCCACAACGAACCACAACGAACCCTTCTCATTCACACACACGCTCCCACGGACCTCCAGCAGCAAGCTGCAGCCTCATCCGCGGGATTCACCGCATCCAGCATCGCCAGGCGCGCTGCCAGCCCGCCCCAAAGCCTTAAATCACCGGACTGAAACCCTGCCAACCCTTCCAAATCACACCTCCATACCTCGAGGTGCAGGGAGATGATGGCAGCAGCCAGTTGCAGCCTCATCCGCGGGTTGACAGCATCAAGCATGGCCAGGCGCGTTGCCAGCCCGCCCTCCACACTGGCCACTAGTATATCCGCCAACCTCTGCATCTCCCCAGCCGATGCCTGCTGGCTCTCCAAGGCCACCCTCCTCAGCCCTGTCACCTGCCGCTGCTTCTCCTGATATAGGTGGGGTTGGAGGGTGGGAGGTGGGGTGGAACAAGGAGAGGGATATAATGAGTGGGAAACTAGCAAGTGAGCGAGTGAGCGAGCAAGTGAGTGAGCTGCCAGCCCGCCCTCCACGCTGGCCACGAGCACGTCTGCCAGCCTCTGCATCTCCCTGGCCGATGCCTGCTGGGACTCGGCTGCCACTTTCCTCAGCCCTGTCACCTGCCTCTGCTTCTCCTGGTAGGGGGAGGAGAACTGGGGGAGCGGGAGTGGAACAAGGAAAGGGGGAAGGAGAGGAGGAGTGGGAAACAAGCAAGTGAGCAAGCGAGTGAGCTCCCAGCCTCCCAGCTCGCCCTCCACGCTGGCCACGAGCATATCTGCTAGCCTCTGCATCTCCCCGGCTGACAAGTGGTGCGCCTCTGCTGCCACTTTCCTCAGCCCTGTCACCTGCCTCTGCTTCTCCTGGCAAGGGGGAAGGGGGAGAGGAGGAACCGGGGGGAGGAGGGGTCATTCACTGTATGCACCGGCTCCCCCGGTGGCAACTGACTTCCTTTTGAACCAACTCTGGAGGACTTACCATGTAGCGGAGCAGAAAGCATTCTCACTTTAGCTCCTCTCCCTCTCACCTGCTCCATCACCCTCGCCAGTTCCTCCACCACTCGCAGCAGCTGCCTTCCCAGCCTCCTCACCTTATCCTCCAGGTTAAATGTGAGTTGACCCAGAAATCACCTCCTTTCAAACTAGAGCTCTGGCATCACCATGAAGAGCAAGCAACAGATCGCATTTTCAGTTAAGTTGGCTCTCACCTGCTCCATCACCCTCGCCAGCTCCTCCACCACTCGCAGCAGCTGCGATCGCTCCGCCCGCACCATCTCTCTCTCCCAGAGTCATTACTTGCAGCAGGTCTTGGAGCGGTTTGACATGGCCCGGGGCGGTGCCCAACATACTCCTCTTCGTTTCTAACGCCTTTCTGCAAGGCGTCCTCCGCGAGCTAATCTACATGGAGCGTCCAGCCGGCTTTCACTTTCCCTTCCCAGCTAACTCTGTCTGGCAGCTGCGTCGACCTGTGTATGGGCTCTGACAGGCCCCTAGGGAGTGGCATGCTAAGCTTGCCGCCACCCTTGCTGAACTTGGGTTTCGCACCTCCCGCTCCGACGCCAGCCTCTTCCTCCGCGCCTCCCCCTCCCCCTTCTACATCCTTGTGTATGTCGATGACATGATTCTGCTCACCGCCGACCTTGCTGAGTTGAAGCGTGTTAAGGCTGAGTTGGGTAGCCGTCTCAAGTGCAAGGACTTGGGAGAGCTGCAGCATTACCTGGGCATGACCATCACTCGCGATCGCTCCGCCCGCACCATCTCTCTCTCCCAGAGTCATTACTTGCAGCAGGTCTTGGAGCGGTTTGACATGGCCCGGGGCAGTGCCCAACATACTCCTCTTTTTGTCGGGCACCACCTCTCTCCACCCACCTCCCCCTCCACCTTCTCCCATCCTTATCCCGAGCTCATCGGCTCCCTCATGTACGCCATGGTCTCCACTCGCCCTGACCTTGCTTACCCCATCAGCGTCCTCGCTCGCTTTGTTGGCGCAGGCAAACATACGGAAGAGCACTGGCAGGCCGCCAAGCGTGTCCTCCAGTACCTTCGTGGCACCAAGGACTATGTCCTTACCCTTGGCGGACCCTCCCCACCTCTCCTCAACGGCTACAGTGACTCCTCCTAGGCTGATTCTCGGCCGGATCGTCGCTCCTCCCAGAGCTATGGCTTCTCTCTTGGCAACGGCCTTATCAGCTGACGCTCCACCCGCTCCTCGGCTATCGCCCTCTCCTCCTACGAGGCGGAGTTATATGCCACTACCATGGCAGCTCAAGAGGCCCGCTGGCTCACCTTCCTTCTTGAGGAACTTGGTGCCCCCCAGCGCTGTCCCATCATCTGGTGTGACAATGCCAGTACCATTCACCTCATTAAGGATGCTGTGTTTCACGGGCGCTCCAAACACATTGAGCTCCGTCATTTTTTCATTCACGATCTTGTTCAGGCGGAGCACCTTCGGCTCGACAAGATTGACTCGGCGACCAACCTTGCCGACATGTTCACAAAAGCTCTTCCTCATACGGCTCACTCTTCACTACTTCATCTCCTTGGCCTTACTCCTAAGTCGCCTCCCGCCTCTTGATTCTAGCCTTCTAGCCTTATGCATGTTGGGGGGTTGTGTTGTAATTTCATATTTTATACAACATACATAGGCTAGAATTAGATGTGTAGCACATTTATAAATTGGGGGGTTCCAACCACATTTTGTGGTTGGTTGGGATTGGTCCTTAACTCAACCAATCCCAACCAACACACATTTGTGGTTGCTTGGGCTACAAGCAAGCTCATCCATTGGTCAACATATTGGCCAATAGGGTAAGCTTCCCTCTCATCTCTCTCTTGCTCATTGTTTGTACTAAAGGGCCTCTTGGCTCATTATCCAATTCATCAATTCTCTCCTTCAACAATTCTCACTTTAGCTCCCCTCCCTCTCACCTGCTCCATCACCCTCGCCAGTTCCTCCACCACTCGCAGCAGCTGCCTGCCCAGCCTCCTCACCTTATCGTCGAGGTTAAATGTGAGTCGACCCAGAAATCACCGCCTTTCAAACTAGAGCTCCGGCATCGCCGTGAAGAGCAAGCAACCGATCGCATGGGCTCTCACCTGCTCCATCACCCTCGCCAGCTCCTCCACCACTCGCAGCAGCTGCCTTCCCAACCGCCGAACCTCGTCGTCCCCCCGCACGCGGTCCGCCTCTGTGGGGTTGAGGAGGGGAGGAGGGGAATGAAGAGGGGGGGAAAGAGGTTGTGAATCGAAGAGCAAAATATCGTAGAAAAAAGCACCTCACCTCGTCTCCTCGCACGCGGTCCGCCTTTGTGGAGTTGAGGAGGGGAGGAGCGGAGGAGGGAAGGAGAAGAGGAATGTGACTTCTATATTATGCAGAGGCAACCGCTGCACCTAGTCATCCCCTCGAACGGGTTGGCGGGGTTGAGGAGGGGAGGAGGGCAATGAAGAGGGATGGGAAGGAAGAGTGGCAGAGTGGTGCAAAGGGATTCGTGGTGGATTATTGGAAAACAGTAAACTACACTGCACGCTCCTCACAACTGTACGTTGTCAGTTGAGAGACCCGGCCAACGTGGTTGGTAGGGCAATTTAAACCATACGCGTTCCCCGCCTCCCCCCTTTAGTCCCACCAGTGCTTCTCACCCTGAGGGGTAGCATCGAGCTGAGAGACCCGGGCCACGTGGTAGGGCCCTCGGGAGTTGATGGAGAGGATGGCAAAGCGACACACGCCCTGGGGGCAAAGAGAGAAGGAGGAGAGGGCATGAGTGGGTGGGAAGGTGTGAGCGAGGGAGGGGAAAGGGGTTTTAGTATTATCTGAAGACCCGAGCCGCGTGGTAGGGCCCTCGGCAGTTGATGGAGAGGATGGCGAAGCGACACACGCCCTGGAGGCAAAGAGAGGAGGAAGGGGAAGAGAGGGTTAGGCGAGTAAGTCGCCTCAGGATCCCAACAGGTGAGATGCAAGATGCCTCGGCACCCCAATAATGTGTAGGGCCTTCGCGAGTTGATGAAGAGGATGGCAAGGGACACACGCCCGCCCTGGTGCAAGGAGGGAGGGCGTGAGGGAGGAGAGGGGCAAGTGAGATGGGCCCCCACCCCACCGTCCGTGACGAACCGAACGGGGGTTCGCTATATTGCTCAAGCCTAGGTGGGGGGAGGGGGGGGGTCTGCACCTCTCCAACAGTCTCTCTGCTGCGTAGGTCACCGTGGGCAGAGAGGCTGCAGGACCAGTTACCTTGCAACATTTCTACGTCAGCAGCAACTGGTCCAGCAAGTTTTGAGACGTCCCAAAACTGGCTGCAGGACTTTGCAGTTATCTTTTGAGGTGCCTCAAAAATGCAGTTACCTTGAAACATTTCTACATCTTTGAGGCGCCTCAAAAATAGACTTTGCAGTTACCTTGAAACATTTCTACATCAGCAGCAACTGGTCAAGCAGAGAGACTGCTGGCTGGACCCTGTAGGGTCACCTTGGCAGCAGCACCAGCTCATAGGTCACCCGGCCTGTGGGCCTCTCCACGCCCTTGTGTGGCGTCATGGCACACATAGATGTGCTGCAGCAAGCAGTTGTCTAGCATCGCAGCTGCTGCACTGATGTAAGATCATCTCACCTGCAGCACCAGCTCATAGGTCACCCGGCCCGTGGGCCTCTCCACGCCCTTGTGTGGTGTCATGGCACACATAGATGTGCTGCAGCAAGCAGTTGTCTAGCATCGCAGCTGCTGCACTGATGTAAGATCATCTCACCTGCAGCACCAGCTCATAGGTCACCCGGCCTGTGGGCCTCTCCACACCTCAGTGTCGAGCCATGCCACATACCACCTGCACCAGTTGAACCTCGAAACCTACCTGCACTGGTATTGAGCATATGACAAACTCACCTGCAGCACCACCGCATAGGTCACCCGGCCTGTGGGCCTCTCCACTCCCTTAGCCACATGCAGCGCCCTAGCTGCCACGCCCCTGGTAGAGAGAAAGGGGCCGAGCAGGGACAAAAGTGGAAAGAGGGAGAGAGGTTGGGTCTGCAGAGGTTGCGAACGGGGGAGAAGGGATGGCCTCTCTGCACACCAAGGCACCCTACCCGTGGGCCTCTCCACGCCCTTAGCCACATGCAGCGCCCGTGCTGCCACGCCCCTGGGAGGAGAGGGAAGCGGCAGCGCAGGGAAAAAAAAGGAATTTCTTTCCACACCAACCAAGTCACCCGGCCTGTGGGCCTCTCCACGCCCTTAGCCACATGCAGCGCCCGTGCTGCCACACCCCTGGGGAGCAAGAAGGGGCAGGGACAAAGGAGGGAGGCAGGATGAGCTCGCAAGGAGCTTACAAAGGAGGGAGGCAGGATGAGCTCGCAAGGAGCTTACAAAGGAGGGAAACCAATCGAGCACCAGTTAGGTGCCATGGTTTCAATACGTGGCAGCAACTCTTAGGGATGACACCTTGAAAGTTGTTTTGTGAGCACGACGGGGCAGGGACAAAGGAGGGAGGGAGGATGAGCTCGCAAGGAGCTTACAAAGGAGGGAATGGAGGCCGCAACAACCCACCTGGGAGTTGTTTTGAGGGTTGCGGGACGATGGCTGGCTGGGTGCACCTGCAGCCACAACCACCCGAACCCACCTGGGGTGCCACTTCACGTCTTCCAGCAGCAGCTTCGCCGTTCCCCTGTCACCTCCTCTGGCCCGCTCGCCCCCCACACGCGCACAACTAACCATACTGGGAGGCTGTGCGGGTTGTGAGTGCTGTTGGGGTTGTGAGAGCAGTGAGTGCAGGTGCCAACCCAACCCACCTGGGGTGCCACTTCACGTCTTCCAGCAGCAGCTTCGCCGTTCCCCCCGTCACCTCCTCTGGCCCGCTCGGCCCCCACACGCGCACTACCGCCTTTCCCTCACCGCTATTAGCATCCCCGTTACTAGTAGCCGCCCCTTCCCCTACCCCTGCCTTCTCTCCTGTCCCTCCTGCTCCTCCTTCCGCGTTTCCATCACCGCTATTAGCAGCACCGTTATTATTAGCAGCACTGCCACTAGCAGCAGCACCGCTACCAGTGCTATCCGCGGAACCAGGGGGCTCTATAACGGGTACGATTCCAATCAGCGCGGGCTTGTCCTTCTGCCACAGCTCCTGCTCCACCAACCGCACGCTGCCAAGTGGAGGCGAAAGGGGGGCATAGGGAAAGACCCAGAGGAGGGAGTGTGGGTGGGGAATATGGCCAGCCTTTTTGGTAGCTACGTAATTCACGTCACACGAACCTAGTACCCTTGATTTAAAACATCTTAAACAGTGTAGCTACCTTCCAGGCTCTCGGATTCGACTCGAGTTTACCTGCTGGGGTCGGAGCAGGTGATTCGCACGATGGCGCCGGGAAGAAGCACGCGGTTGTGGAACGGCAGGATGGCCAGTCGGTCTGGGAGCTCCACGCACAGCGGATCCTCCCCCGCCGCGCCTCCGTCCGACGCCATTTGAGACAGATACCGCTACTGTTAGTACTACTGCTGTGGTCGTACAGCCACCCTTTTGGAACCGCGGCGAACAACGCGGTGAAGCGAGGCGCGGCGAATAATGCGAAACGCGGCGAGCAATGCGAAACGCGGCGAGCAATGCGAAGCGTGACGCTTTCTCCGAACGACTCTGGCAGACTTCTGCAGGTTCAGTGCGACGAGCAATGCGAAGCGCGACGAGCAATGCGAAGCGTGACGCTTTCTCCGCCGGACGACTCTGGCAGACTTCTGCAGGTTCAGTGCGCCAAATACCGAGAGCCTAGCGACCAAGCGAGCTGGAATTCTCAAGCTAGACTAGACCAGATGCAAGCTTTGGCGCAGTACTCCTATCCAGCATGTACCTCGGTCCGCCACCGGCTAACGGTCAGGCTAGACGGCGGCTTGAGATTCCGTCTATCCGGCTGACGCTAGGTGGGTGCGGTCTCCCTCTGTGCGGTCTCTCTCTGTCAGAGCTGTAAAGAGAAAATGCAGCGAGAAAGAGGTTCGAAAGTGGATGATCTGAACCTTTGTAGGAATTCAGAGTCCGTACCTGCTCTGACTGAGCCTCAGGACGTGCAGCAGGTGAGAGGAAAACTGGCGTGCGTTGGTGACTGACAGGACGCGACGTTAGTCGGCCTTCCTGCAAGAGCTACTACCGCCTGAGCCCAAGAGCTGCACGAGCTTATCCGCTAACTGGTAGTGGCGGCTCGAGAAAGCGGCGGTCCTAAGGCTATCCGTGGCCCATCAAAAGTGCTGGTGATGGGAACAGGAGTTAGAGGGCAGTGAAGGGTTTCATCGCGGTGATCCACGGTTTAAGGGCGTGACCGTTGCTTCTGTGGTCCCCACTCCACGTCAGCTCCAGCATGCAGCTTTCTGGAACTTGTTTCCGTCTGAAACCAGCGAGTGCAATTCAGCTCATTGAATGGGTCTTCGTACTCGGTGAATCCGCAGAATTTTCATTAATTCGAGTACAGCTATTATGCATACCCGTGTATTTCGCTTTCTGACAGGGCTTCGAGAAAACCTGCAAAACTCAAACGAAACCATGAACCAGCATTCACACTTGAACTTGCTCGAGCTTAGATGAACATTACCTCCTGAGCCAGAGGTTGCTTGAAACGAATTCTGAAACTCGCGGGGTGCAGACTGCGAAAGTGTCAGGCCTGTCTAGAAAGCCGCCACATCAAGGCCGCGCCACGCAGGCTGTCGTGGTTGACTAGAGCGCGCCTCCAATAGGATTTGTGAACAAGCTTGCGGTCAGGAGCTTTTTACCAAAAGCCGCGTCAGCTCCACGAAATTCCAGATTCCAATTGTCCAATGAGGCGTTCTGAACCGGAGCCATCACCATCGAAATGCGTGGTTTTTAGGGCTTCTGACATGGCGTGATCGAGGTGGTCCCAGTCAGTATGTTTTATGTTTTTAAGCAATGCGCTTACCTCAACAAAATTATCAGACTTGCGTGGTAACGAACGACCCAATAACGACCCTGCACAAACATGGTTGTGTCCTGACATCTCGCCTGTTCAGATGGTCTCTACCCGCCGAGTTCTGCGGCGTTCGCGGCTGCTCAAAAGGCGGCGCGGCTGAATGAAACAGAGAACAGAGACGATTAGAGAGCAAAATGCTATTATTGTGTCGACTCAAAAATCACCTACGGCTCGGTCGAATGAACAGAGACCACCAGAGACGATTTGAGCGCCCTAGGCCAAGCGAAACGGCGTGATTTGATTTTTTTAGGCGCCTCGAGAATCGCATCTCCTCTAGACTATATCGCGCTTCCAACACGCAAGTTCATGTTTAGCAGGGCAACGAAACGTTGTGCTGTTTGATGAAAGCCTTTTGAACAATATCGCGATTTGAAGTCCCACGGCCATGTTTAGCACGGCAGCGCGATTGACGGAGAGTCACGGGAGGAACGGAACGTCGTAAGCTGACCGGAGCGGAAAATCTCTAGATTATATCGCGCTTCCGGCACGCAAGGCCATGTTTAGCACGGCGGCGCGGTTGACGGAGAGGCAGGGGAGGAGCGGCACGTCGCGTCTTGAGTATCTTCAGGTAGGATCCGTTAGCATTCTACTCCGTGATTAAGGGTCTGTTCGGATTTTTTTGTGTTCTCGGGACCATAAGCCTGCTCGGAGGTAACAGGACCAAGAGGTAGGCGACAGGGAAGGAGTGGAACATCGCGACTCGAGTACCTTCAGGTGAGATTCCCTTGCATTCTACTCGAGGTATACCCGTTTCTCACCTCTGACTTCTTGCCACGCCTGGAACGCGGAAACTTCACTTTTGCCTTCCTCGCTAAATCGTGGGGTCTAAACGGCCAACAACCGTTTAGAAGTTGCAGGTCGATTTTTGAGTCGACTCGAAAGTCGATTTCTGCCTTTCCCGCTCAATCGTGGGGTCTAAAGGGCCAACAACCATTTAGAAGTTGCGGGTAGAGAGAGACGACTTTTGAGGCGCCTCAAAAGTCGTCTTTCTACCCGCAATCTCTCAATCGTGGAGTAATGCGTGGGTTATCAAGCTCCATGCAACCCATCTATTCGTGTCATGTCAACAGCCATCCTTCCCTCCTCATCTCTCGCCTCTTCCCCTCAGCTTCTTTTCCATGCACTCCTCTCGTCCCCTGCTTGCCGTGTGAGCAGGCGCTTGTCACTGAGTTCCAGACAACCCAAAACGAAGGTGAGACCAAGGTCTGAGGCACTATGACTATGTTGTTCGCCAGGACAGATTCTGACTAATTTTTTAGTCGACTCAAAAATTGACTAAGTTGTTCTCCAGGACAGATTCTGACTAATTTTCCTGACTGGATTTGCCTTACCATGCCTCCTGCCCTCCTCCTTGTGTTTTCGACAATTTCGTCTTCTTCAGGTTGACTTGTTTTATTTGTGTCCCTGTCTCCCTCCCTTCTCTTCTTTCACCTCTTCCTCCTTGATCCTCCTTGATCCTGTTTGATCCTCCTTGATCCTCCTTGATCCTCCTTGATCCTCCTTGATCCTCCCACCCCTCTTCAACTTCATCCTCCACTCTTCTCCAATCCTCCCACCCCTCTTCAACTTCATCCTCCACTCTTCTCCAATCCTCCCACCCCTCTTTCGTCCCCACTCCTTCCCTGTCGCCTTCCTCTCATTACTAGCAGAAGCCCCAAGGAGCAGATCATTGCTAACCTCGCCAATTCTGCCAGCCTCCCCCCCTTCCCCTCCTCACCACTGCACACACGCACTCACCCTGATGCCTCCCTCCCTCCCACTACTAGCAGAAGCAAAGGAGCAGATCGTTGCTAACCTCGCCAATTTCGCCAGCCTCCCCCTCTTCCTCTCCTCACCACTGCACACACGCTCTCACCTTCGTGCCTCCCTCCCTCCCATTGCTAGCAGAAGCAAAGGAGCAAATCGTTGCTAACCTCGCCAATTTTGCCTACGACCCGATCAACTATGACCACCTGCGCAAGGTGATTATAGGTGACTGTATCGAAGCTGTGCTATTGAAATGTCTTATTGAAGCAACGTGGCCAAATTCGCCTACGACCCGATCAACTATGACCACCTGCGCAAGGTGATTATAGGTGACTGTATCGAAGCTGTGTTATTGAAATGTCTTATTGAAACAACGTGGCCAAATTCGCCTACGACCCGATCAACTATGACCACCTGCGCAAGGTGATTATAGGTGACTGTATCGAAGCTGTGTTATTGAAATGTCTTATTGAAACAACGTGGCCAAATTCGCCTACGACCCGATCAACTATGACCACCTGCGCAAGGTGATTATAGGTGACTGTATCGAAGCTGTGTGATTGAAACGTCTTATTGAAGCAACCTGGCAGGATTTGCCTATGACCCGATCAATTTATCACTGCTTACGCAAGGTGAGTGGTTGACGTTGTGTGGGTGCGACTGTATTGATGGGTGCATGTGACTATGTTAAGATGTCAACTTTCAGTGCTAACGTATCCAATTTCGCCTATGACCTTATCAACTGCGCAATGTGAGTGGTTGTAGCTGGGTGGGTGTGACTTTATTGAAACGTCTCAAAGCTATTAGACCCGATTGATATAACTTTGTAGTGATACTGTACACGGCCGGTGGGTGTACTGCTCGTTACCTGCATGGATGTGACTGTACAGAACCACTGTATGTTTTTCCTACTTACTATCTTTGTTTCCAATGCAAAGTGTCTGGAGTTTTGCAGTTCGCTTAAGGTTGAGTCCATACGTAAACCACGTGATAAAAGTTGTATTTTGAGACGTCTCAAAATACAACTTTCATCACGTGTCCATTCGTAAACCATTCACCTCCATTCGTAAACCATTCACCTCCATGCGTAAACCATTCACCTCCATTCGTAAACCATTCACCTCCATTCGTAAACCATTCACCTCCATGCGTAAACCATTCACCTCCATTCGTAAACCATTCACCTCCATTCGTAAACCATTCACCTCCATTCGTAAACCATTCACCTCCATGCGTAAACCATTCACCTCCATGCGTAAACCATTCACCTCCATTCGTAAACCATTCACCTCCATTCGTAAACCATTCACCTCCATTCGTAAACCATTCACCTCCATTCGTAAACCATTCACCTCCATTCGTAAACCATTCACCTCCATTCGTAAACCATTCACCTCCATTCGTAAACCATTCACCACCATTCGTAAACCATTCACCACCATTCGTAAACCATTCACCACCATTCGTAAACCATTCACCACCATTCGTAAACCATTCACCTCCATTCGTAAACCATTCACCACCATTCGTAAACCATTCACCACCATTCGTAAACCATTCACCACCATTCGTAAACCATTCACCACCATTCGTAAACCATTCACCTCCATTCGTAAACCATTCACCACCATTCGTAAACCATTCACCACCATTCGTAAACCATTCACCACCATTCGTAAACCATTCACCACCATTCGTAAACCATTCACCTCCATTCGTAAACCATTCACCACCATTCGTAAACCATTC